TAATAATAGTTCAGACACACAGAAAACGTGTTTTAAAGCTTTACACAGACGAGAGCCAGAGTAAGTGTCCTGTGTTCCAAAACAAAGCTCGTAAATCAACCCTTATCAGTGGAAGAATGAGCAAGGCCGTCTGGAGTAACCATGGATAAGATCTGCCCCTGACTGGCTGAACAGGGTGTCACTCAGACCATCAAGAGGTTTTGACACCCAATCACAAGTCTGTCTGAACCCGAAAGGGCGGGACATGAGAAACCTATAAATCTTGCTCAGACACCAAGTTTGGTTGAACAAACATCGGCAGATAGACCAAGGCAAGGTTTGCTCTGATTTTTGTTCCTCAGACTGCACTCTGATTATATGTAATATCTGCATACTTTAACTTTGTCTCAATTAAATCTTTTATACTAAGGTGAAGTGCTCCTGAAATTCTGTGCTCGGGTCATTTGAACACCCCAAATCCTTCAAATGGTGACCCCGACGTGATGATCTTCGAGTACACTAGGATCAGTGAGATTCGACCCATGAGCAGATTGGCCATTCGCATCCAGGGGGGAGGCGCCTCACATAAATAACAGGTAAGCGAGTTACCTAAGTTGGCCGAAAGGCCCAAAAACTACGCTATTCGGCCGTAAACCAAATTGAAGCCTCTGGATGAGCATGGTGGGTTCTGTCTCCTGAAATAAAGGAGGAATAGCAGCTAAATGTTAATATAATAACTAGAGGCATTGAGCACGGAGCTTAAAGTGTGCAGAATAATAGAATAATAGAGTACAAATAACAAAGAGAAGCGCTAAGACTAAGGTCAAAGAGAAAAGCGAAGATAAGAGATAAAAAAAAGAGTAAGAAGGCCAAAGAGATAAAAAAGAGAATAAGAAGGCCAAAAAACAGAAATAAGGGGAGAGGCCAGACTTCAGGGGTATCTGAGGCAGGCTTGAAACACAAGAGTCAGGGTGGCTTCTGGGTAATACCAGATGGCTAGGCCTCAGACTGACGAAGCCTCTTGGATGAGGGGCGAAACGTTTCTTTTTAACAAAAAAAACGAAGTCCAGATGACATGATTCAACCTTTTTTGTTGTTATATACCTGGATGACTGAGAAAACAAACTTTGTGTAATTGACTGGGACGTTTGAAGATTCAGATGAGGAGCAGCCTATAGGTAGGAGACTAACCAGAGAGAGGAAGCAGACAGATAGGTTGACTTATGACGACCTGGGGCACCAACTTCGAGACAAGACAGATTACGTAAGTGAGGATAAAGAAACACAACTGCACCTGACTGGGGACACCGTAGGGAGCAACTTGCCGTTAATCACCATACCAGGACTTTCGGGGGGAGCTCGGAGATATAAACCATTTGCTATGAGGGATATAGAGGCCATTGTAGATAAGCTACCACCTATTTCAGAGGGAGGGTCGAGGTGGTTAGACCAACTGGACACTCTAATGACTTTAGGACATACACCGGCTGTGGGTGACCTTAAAGCCATTTTGGCTAGGTGTGCGAATCATGTAATGGTACAGGCTGTTATGAACATTGTTATCGATGTGGGTCACCACCAGACCCCTGTTTCAGCTTTGCCAGACGAGAGACCACTGCATGAGTTTTTCCATCTGATATCTCCCATCATCAGAAAACTGTATCCACTGCCATTAGGAATGTCCATCCCAGAGTTTAACTGGGACAAGAACATGGAGCCTCGTGAGTTTATAGAACAAAGTAAGGATGCTTGGTTGAAAATCACTGGTAGACATGCACAATCCGAACAACAAAAACCGTATTTTAGGAAGGCTGTACTTGATGGTTTGCCTAGTGACGTTGTAGATGACCTCGAAAAAAACGCTGACTTGCTTGCAGCTGATGCTGAGAGGTGGGAGAGACATGTGGTACATCGTCTTAAATATGCTAAAAAACAGAGAGAGAAGGAAGCAAATGAGTTACAAGACATGAAAAATCAGTTGGTTAAGCTTAAATTGAATGACGCCAGACATAAAATAAATGAGGAGAAAAAAGTGAAAGAGAAAAAACAAATGGCGGTTCAGGAGGGTGTCGAAACCTCCACACCAGGGGTAGTTGCTGTGCAACAGTGGTCTGAAACATCTGGTCCGCGGGCCAGAGGGGGACATCCAGCCAGGAGAGCTGGACGAGGGAGAAGGGGTGGCGGTGCGGCGCAGAGGGGTTGGGGACATGGTGTCTCGCACTGGGGATGGCGGGGGGATGCTTGTTTCCTCTGTGGTCAGCAGGGGCACTGGGCGAGAGATTGCATGTACCCAGGCCCACCTCCCCACCAGCCAATGTGGGAACAACAGCCGTACCAGCAACCTATGAGAGGCCAAAAACAATACCAGCAGCAGGCAGAAGTGCCCCCTCAGATGCAAGGAGGGAGGGGCTCGCAAGAGCAATGACACGACCCACAGAAAATCCTATATGCTTGGGGAGGGGCGGACCCAATGCTCGATGTCGAAGTGAGAACTGACACATTGCCGTTTCTAGTCGACACTGGAGCAACATTTTCAACAATCAACCACACACCACCTGGCTGCCAGATGTCACAGCAGTCAGTAGAGGTTGTTGGATTTTCTGGGGTAAAACAGAGACTGCCTGTAACAGTTCCCCTTACTACTAAAGTGGGAACACAAACACTGGCCCATCCTTTTGTGATTGCAAAAAATGCACCAGCGAATCTCCTTGGGAGAGATCTTCTCATAAAGCTTGGAGCGTCCATTCTTTGTGCACCTGATGGACTGAGTGTCCGACTCCCGGATGGAACCATCTTGAACTGTGGCCAGGTCACCATTTCCCACTCTCAATGTGTGATCCAACCCGTCCAAGACGAGTATGCTGACATTTACTGGGGGCTGATTGAACCTGAGATCCCTGGGGGAATGGGTGTTTTCTCTGCATACCTGGCGTGGGAGCCGTGGTTCCGGACTCTTGAGCCATACACGCCGATCTCAGATCCCTTACATGTAACCCTCTGTTATGACAGAAGAGGTGACGAGGTTTTTCAGGATCACTTTGCAGAGCAACTACAAGGGAAAATCTGGTCAATTAAAACAGGTAACATTTATGCGGGAAAACAAGGGGTGGCAGCTATTGTAAA